ACTACGGGATGCAATCGAAGACGCTGGAGGATTATCCGCCCATCAACATGGATTCCGACCGCGCCATTCAACAGTAGGAGCACTGCGTGAGGTAGTGGAACAAGAGTACACGGCCTGGCGAGGAAATCACCTCAGTCGCAGTATTTGCGTTCTGATCACCTTGAAAAATGCCTTCAACTCAGCAAGGTGGGTCGATATCATGAATGCCCTAGAAGAGCGCTTCAAGATTCCGGCATACCTACTACGGGTGATTAACGACTACCTTTCCAACAGAAGTCTGACTTACAAAACCCTAGAAGGTCAGCAGGTTCAGAAAGTCACTGCCGGTGTAGCCCAGGGTTCTGCACTTGGGCCGGACCTATGGAATGCGATGTACGATGGGATCCTAAAAATCGAGCTACCGACTAGTGGGGTTCGCTGACGATATCGTTGCCGTGGTAACTGCCAGGGACATGGAGACTGCGCGCCTAGAAACCGAGTTTGCAGCGCACTCGGTGCACTTTTGGATGAACAACACCGCTTAGAAATGGCTGCAGACAAGACCAAAGTGACCGTGCTTACAAGACAAAGACTACATTCCCTGCCCCTGGTGCTAAACCTTTCGGGAGCCACCATCACCTCTCATGAAATGGTGAAGTATTTGGGAATATGGTTGGACCAAAAACTGACTTTCAAGCAACATCTCACAGAAGTGGCAAACAAAGCCACGCTATCTAAGATTATGCCAAACGTCGATGGTCCTAAAGCAGATAAGAGGCGGGTACTGATGTACGTCGCCAATTCAATGATGTTGTACGGAGCGGAAATCTGGGCTAACGCAATGACTATCGAAACCTACAGAAGAAGACTCGCATCAGTTCAGAGAACAGCAACTCTGCGAATATCGTCAGCGTATCGCACTGTCGCTGAGGGGGCCATTTTGGTAGTGGCAGGCGCCATACCGATTGATCTTTTGGCACTGGAGCGTCAAAGGTTGTACGACACCAGTGAAATACCAAAACCTTTCACTGCAGTCAGGCAACGGACCCTTCGTGAGTGGCAGGCAAGATGGGAGAACGATCCTAAGCTGTACTGAGGAACCAGTTGGAACAACAAATAGGATTAACCTTCACACCTGAGTCGGCGGTGCCCACGATGCCTGCCAGCGAGAATCACTGGCATATGATCTCATCTTTCGTGGAGGAATTACTAAAACTGAAGAAGGCAGACGATGGAGTACAAACATCCCCGAACTCCTAATCCGGCAGATCCGGGATGGGAGATGTAGGGTGCGATCGGACGACTACTACGAGGACAACTGAAGAACAAGACGATAAAGACAAGACAGCCTGCGTGCGTGAAGTTATGCCATCTTGGCGGTTCCAGCACAAAGGCGGTTCGTAGACCCACTCGCTCAAGGTTGCGGCCTGGCGGCGGTCCTATAAAAAAACTATTATTACTATTATCACTATTATTACTATTATTACTATTATTACTATTATTACTATTATTACTATGATTACTATTATTACTATTATTACTATTATTACTATTATTACTATTATTACTATTATTACTATATATTATTAGTATTATTACTATTATTACTATTATTACTATTCTCACTATTAATTACTATTATTAGTATTATTATTAGCTTTTTGAGCCAGATTTATCCTGGGGTAATACGCGGTACGGGTGTTTCTCACCAAGTGCTCTCGTCTATTCTTGGCTCAAGAATCGTCACACTATTTGAGTCGGATTAAGTACGACAGGTTTCTGTAAGAGTTTGAATATTTCTTGGCTGTTGGCCCAAATATTACCAGATTTCTATGAAGCTCTTTGGTATGATCCCCGTTGCAGATAAAACGATAGGTACAATTGTGACCCTGTCTAAATTTCACATTTTCTTCACTTTGTCTGCTAATTCTGTATATTTTCGTTTTTTTTCTCTGTGAAGGTGATGAGTACGTATAGGTTTCCCTTGCTTGTTTGTTCGTTACAACTATATCAGGCTTATTGCAAGGTACACTCCTATCTGTTATAATAGACCTGCCGTAGGAGATGGTATATTGGTTTGTTTTTATTACTGATGGTGGTTCATGCTTATGATATGGTGTTTTGGCCTATTTGTGTTCCAGACCAAGTGTATAGCATATATCTCTATGGATCAAAGCAGCTACTAGATTGTGATGATCTAGGTATTCGTTTTGACACGTTGCGCTACATGCTGCTGCAATATGTTGAATGGTCTCAGGTTCCTCTCCACACTTCCTGCATATTATATCGTCGCGCACTGATGGGTCTTTGATAATATGTTTACGATAGTTCTTAGTTTCAGTTCCTGATCCAGAATAGTTATCATAAGGCCCTCCCCACACTTCAACCATTCGTTCGATGGTTGTTTATCGACATGAGATTGGTCGAAGTCATGTGGGTCTCTTCCGTGAAGGGCTTTGGTTCGCCATTCTGGATGCTTTTCTTCTCTATCAAGGGCATTCCCACTGGTGTGTATAGCAAAATTGGCTAGATACAAAGATATGTATGAGTGGTCCGTCACACATATGACAATGTAGAGATGAAGACTTGCTTATCATGTATATATATAGTGGATACCAAACAGAATCCGATGAAATAAATTTAGATATATACCCAATATTTACTACCTTTATTTTCGAAATGAATAAACTTGCTGTTGCAAAATTAAATTCCTTTCTAAATAAAAACACCTGATTTGTTAGATATTCAAAAACACAAAATATTTAAAGAACATAAATCGTTTTCTAGTATTTTAATTATATTTTACAGAATATATTTTGATATTTTAACTACTCTGAATCACTGGAATCGGAAGAGCCACAGTTGGGTAATAAGGGGTAGAATTTCGTGCCTATCCATTACTTGTTCCCTTCTATACCATTCCATAATATAATTTATGGTTTTTCGGGCTGTTAAGCCGTGGTCGTGTTGGATTTGGTCCAGAGCTTTCCGCTACATCTGCGGTAGCCATCTTCAGTGGCGCTGTCGGCGCGAGCGAATGCTCGGCTTGGCGGGTCGACTCAGTTTCAGTCATTCAGCTACTTTTTAATAAAATAAAAATAATACCAATGCATTTGATTTTTTTGAGAAAATTAACCATTTCTATCTGAATGTCGAAAAAATCCCCTAGGGGCCACATGTGAAGCTAACAAAACTTCAAACGTGATAACGTTTGCAGCCCAAGAATAGCTCTTTTCAACTAACCCAAGTTTGTTAAAATCGGTCAAGTCAAGTTTTTTGAATATCCCACCAATTTGTAGATATGCAGCAAATTGTCAAACAAAAAAGTTCACTTTATCATCGACTTTAAAGATAAGGTATTTTTTGTTAGGTTTTCATAGCGGAATTCCTAGAAACATCACTTTTTTACAGGATTGCAGTTACGTCCCCTAGCGGCCATTTCAGAAACTTGAAAGTACTTTCCCGGTTTTTCTCTTGACCGCTTTAGTAATAACTGTTTTTGCCGCAAACCTCTATGATGGATAGGTTCCCAGAAACAGTACCTCGCATTCTTAGTTGGACACCCGGTAGCTACAGTTAAGCCGATTTACATCTACAGTTGAAAGGATGTGACGGTCAATTTGTTTTTATAGTTGGAAATGCAATTTACGTTATTTTACGAACAATAGGCTCTCTTTGTTTGTTTCATTTAGTTTACTAATACACTTAGATATTCCAGGAAGTCCTAGAAATAGTAAAAATCTGTAAATTAATACTTTTATGAGTTACGGGTTGAAATTTTATAACTTCACACACCTAATGCGGAGAAGTATTATAATTACGAAAATTTTCGAAAATGAGATATATTTTTTGGATGTTAAATGACGCCACCAACCTTGGTAAATGAAGGCACCTATTAGACAAATTTCACGCATCATAGATTTCTCCGTACATTAGCCCTTAAAACGGATCGCGTACCTCGCCGCCGCATCTACTTCTCCTTCCGGTCTTTTACGGAATTGGGTAATTGGGAATTTCTCAAAGAATGTCTTCGAATTCAAAAGTATTACATTGATGTATTTTATATGGGAAATTTTCTGTACCTTTTGACAAAAAAATTGAATTTGAACTTTAAAATAAAATTAAGGTGCTAACCCGCAAGAATATAACCAAGCAAAAAAAAAAGAATATAAAAATATTCAAATCGTAAATTGGCTAATTCCTGTCTTTTCATTTTCTAGCCTAACGCTTTATGCGCTTGATTAGGTTGATTGGTCTTCAAGATATTATATATGAAATAACTCACATTTTGATTTGAAATATTTACTTCCGATTTAGTACATTTACTCTTCTTTAATTTCAAATGATTTTTTCATCAAAAAGTTACAGAAAATTTCCTATGCAATATTCCAATCTAGTACTATTGAATTCGAGCATCTATTTTTGATAAAAACCCAATTCCAAATTCTTTAGAAGCACAAGGGTTTTCTTTTTCATACCTCCTAGATGGACAAACAAGCCCAATATGAGCGAATTTTGAATCCTCGCCTTTTTTTCGGTGTCTGCTTTACGTGGAATGATAATTCTCATACAGGAAGAAACCGTTATGTTTTTGTTATGTCAATGGCACTGGTCCATGACCAACTGGCCAAATGATTACTGTAATACTGTTCTACAAGTTTACTAGCGCAATTAGGTTATTTTGTTTTTTCATCATGTTCTTTTTTTGTACTATTCGTTTACCAATGTTTTTTTATTGTTCCATACGTTTCATGTCTTCCTTTGCATAATATTTACACAATTGCAGACTTGTTTTCCCCTTGTTTCTGTTGTTGTTTACTCTATGTTGACAGATTTGCTGGATCTCAGAACCGAGTGTTGTGTCTAAATTAAGAGGTTTTTTTCTTGGTAATCAAGGCAAGGATGTCCAGTTCTAAAAACTTCTAACGCACTTAAGAAAAACAATTGTTTATTTATAGCATTACATAAATTAATAAATTAAACATTATAATATATTATCTTAACAATATTTACAAATAACATTTAAATATACAGAAGACATACTATTTACAAATAAATTACTTATCACACGATAACATGCGTATGGGAAAAGTGGTTTTGGTTAATTTAGCTGAATGTTTTATACGTCATGCTTTTGGCATCCTCAACAAATGATTCAATATGCACAGGCTCCCAAACTTAAATAAAACTAAAATATCTGCTTTAAGTGGAAAATTCGTTTTACTTAATTCCGCTGAATTATTTAGATATTATGTATCTCTGTGACCCAGTCACTATAATGGAGTGTCGGTTTGACTCACATTTTCCTTCTATATAGAAGAGTGGTTTCGATTAGTATGACAGAATTTGTGAAATGTCATATATCTCGGGATCCTAAACAAATGTCTCGGAGGGCACAAACCTCGAAACGCAACGGTTCCCATGACATAGGTCATCTAAGCATAATGGGGTATCGATTCCACTCAAATATCTACTTTATGTTAAGTGGAAGAGTGGTTTTGGTTAATTTCACTGAACTATACTTCCTACGCCAATGGACGAGGAAGTATTGTAATCGCGAAAAAAATCAAAAATAAGATGTTATGCGTTTTGGATATTTTATGACATATACATCACGAAAAAACATGTCGCTCATTTCCGTTGGTCTGCCTGCCTGTCCTGTAATCCTTGGCCAATCTATGACTTGAGAAGTAGCGTTTGGATTTTCACACGAAGTTACTACTATACCAAGGGTTCAAAGCTTTGTAGTTTTTCAGAATCGATTCAATCGTGGCAGAGCTATGGACAAAAACACAAAAAACAACAATCGCTGAAACTTAAAACGAAAGTATTATTGATTGACTCCCTCTACCTAGTCTTACAAAAAGAAATATAGAAACATATATTTTCTCTTTCCAGTAAAATGTGCCACATTTTTGCTCTCTATTAAGCTCTTGTTTTTACTGACCAATGACACTACTATCATTTCCTCATCTTTTGAGGAATTTTAGGCTCTTTAGTGATGTTTTCTTTCTCCATGCTAGAAAAGTCTTTGATAAATTTTAGCAACAGGAATAGCCGTATTTTTTTCTCCGTCACTCAAGACCTTAATTTTTGGGACGAGCATTATAGAAATGGTGCTAAAAAAAAGGTGGCTAACACGATGTCTAACAGATATTTACAAACTTAACTGTATTTTTAGCGTATTTTTTGACCTATGTAAAGTTGCTTAGACATTGTATTTGCCACCTGTTTTTAGTACCATTTCTACTCGTATAATCCCGTCCATAGCGTCAACTAAACCTTTGTACAAGCAATGTTTGAGAAACATTTCCTTACTTGACGAAAGTTTCATTCAAATTTCAGCTATTTTACAAAATTTCATTCAAAAAAGGCGAGCATTTAAAGAATTTAGTGTAATTAACCAAAACCACACTAACACTTAACACAGATATTCAAGTATAACCGATACTCCATTTTACTGGCTTCGACTGTTTATATCTTGGTACCTGTTTAGTTTTGCGGCCTATGCCCATTAAGGCATCTGTTTAGAACGACGAGACACATCTCATATGGACGCCAGGGCGCATACCATCTAAGACGCTTTTCCTATAGGCGTGTACCGGGTCCTTTATCTCTAATACTAAAGTCATCTAGTCAAAGCCCGCTCCAACCAAACAATGTTTAGTCTTTAAAGTTCTGATTTGTAAGGTTTGAACAGCTTTGGCTTATCGGAAACCTGTGTTTGAAGATGATGATGATGTGGTGAGGACTTAGCTGCAGGTATTAGCAGTCCATCCTGTACAGGGGGACTTAAACTAATCTCAGAATGTTCAGGTGAATTCGGAGACATCTTTGATTGTTGAACAGGCTGATACGAGTGAGGAAGATCGAAATTGAGGTTCAAATTCAGCTGTGGTTGAGGTATAACACTTGGTATACTTGTACTGTTCAAGTTGATATTTTGTGGTATGGGGTTAGACATATGGAGACCAGATGGTGGTACTCCGAAGCTAGGATAGGTATGGTACCTCGGATAGTGATGAGGTGCATACATAGGTGGGGGCGGGGGATAATGCAGGGGTAAACTCGAAGCAGCTGCTTGGAGGAGAGAAGCAGCAAATGCTGGGTCAGTGTAAACTGCTGCGTACGGCCAAGCGATTGCCATACGTTGCCGCTTATCCTTCATACGTCGGTTTTGGAACCACACCTGTAACAAAAAAAAAGGGGCTTAGACAAAGCAAAAGGTAACTGAATACCATCAAAAAGAGCATAGATAGAATGGTTCTGTGTGAAGCAAATGTTTCACACGACAAAAGAAGCATTCAAAGAAATGATCGCCACCGCCAAGAGATAAGGTGATACATAGAAACTGTAGTCAGCCTGGCATTCGAATTCCAGTTAAGTTTTTTGGATATTTCACAACTCCTACATCACGAAAATGTATGCCCTTATTCTTGCAGTCTTTTTCTCAGTCTCTGTCTGTTAACGTTTTCTAAGAGCGTAATCTCAGAAACGGCTTCACCGATTTTAGTAATTATTATTTTTTTTTAAGAATCAGTTTCGGAAAAGTTATGGACAATGAAAGAAAAGAGTTATCAGATCGTCACCTAACTGCGCTATCAAAGTTCGTACTTGTATACTTCACAGCTCTGTGGTCACTTTTGTATTTTGTTAAAAAAATATCTCTTTTCACTTTAGTCATTTTTTTTAATTTAACAAATCTTTAACGGAGCTCCGACAATCTCGTGGATTACCAAGTGATTGTTGTTACTGTTTACCGATATTGTACTGTTGTGCTGTGCTCTTGTTGCTGTCATTATTCTTGGTTCCATTTTTTACCAACGTTGATAAAAATGGATCATAAAATAAATAGACGACGAGTCTCAAAGAAGATAAATTTGAATGCTCGCAGATAAAAATGACATTTGCAAGGAGGCGTAGAAATGTTAGTACTGGAATGAAATTTTTTAGCTTTTATTTGAGCAATTATACTTACATTTTATATGACGTTATGATGTTGAGATTAAACAAGTTGCGACCAAAAAAAGAAGACAGCCAGCCATGGACAGCTGTTCCGTGCTTCTTAGCTACTCATCAGCATGGTATAGGCTTGGTCTCTTATCTCTGGACGAACGAACGAAAATATCACAATGAACCTCTATACCGGAGGTGCGGTTTGTTTGCATATTTGCGCCATCTATCGCACCGCTTTGCGCTATCTCATGTTATGATGACATTTCATCCTTAAATTTATGTTGGTAAGCCTGAGTTAGAATATATTCTTTACTTTTTTATGAAACATTATTGTAGGACGAAGAAGTGGCTTTTTCACAAACAAATGCTGCAACAGTGTCATCATTTACGGAAACACAAACAGTAGATTGCATTCATCAATCGCAAGGAAGCCTATTTTGTTAGTATTTTGAATTTGTAAAACATTTATTTTCAAATACAGCAAGCCATGTGTTTTTACCCCCCTAATTCAACGCTTTTGTGCCCTTTGAACAGCTTTTAGGTAAGCAAGCAATAAGTACATAAATTCTATATTTCAACAGAAAACGACAGTTGAAAATTTCAATGTAGATGCTGGGTACTATGTTGCAACATTTTACATTTCAAATCGTGAGCAAGTTATTGGTCGGATTTTCGTCACTTTAACATCTAAATAATAAAACGTCTTTTACTTGATATCAAAAAACATTTACAGTCCCCTTCCCCTAACCTCCAGTTTTTAACTCCTGTAAGTATTCTTCTGAAAATGATTAGAAGCCTCTGAAACGCCAAGAACGAAGTTTAAGGGATTGTATTTTTTTGTTGTTGCCTATAGCGCCGGCGCCACTGGACTGATTTGCTCTCGTAGCACCCTGGGCAATTGTCTTCTGAACACTCTGTATAAATCTCATTCAAAAATGTTGAAAATGGAGCGTCAGTTACGAAGCAGCTGAATCCGTAAATGGCTTAGAGCCTTAAATGTAATTTTGTGATATCATTTTTTGAATTAAATCGTGTGTATACTTGAGTGGTTATCAGTGTTTCAAGTGCGAAATAAAAAAATTAAATTCCGACACAATCTATTTGACGTGATTTTTTAGAATGGACCTCGTACATATCACCAAAGACCATACGGTGATGTGTCACACATTAAATCTTTCCATTAGCGCGTATGATGACTTAAAGCCATCGGCCATCGTGCGGCAATTAGCACATCGACGGACCGCTAATTCGGCTTTTAGGAGATCAAAAAAGCCGCGCGAAGCCACGCAGCGGCTTACTCTTATCTGGCTCTCGGTAGCCTAATGGACCGATAAGCCTCGAGTATCATATGCGCGTTTTATAACGTGTTAACTATCAGAGTCGGCCTGCGATTCAACTCGACTTATTGTTCCGCGGTTTGTTCGACAAATTAGCGTCCCGTCTGTCTCTCTCTAACGGCCACTTCTTTGATAACATCGTCGTTTTTGTACACCACACCATCACTAGTTGCTTTGTACACATCACTTAGTCTCTTTATGATGCTCTCAAATACTATAATGTCGGCGAGTCTGTGATGCCGACAAAGCGAAAAAGGAAACGTCAAGTCAAAATAAGGTTAGAGCAGATAAAAATATGAAGCAAACGGTTCAAAAATGTCTAAAAACTAGCTGGATGAACGGAAAGTTTCTAAATATTCAACTCCATAAGAAATAAAAACACAATACCCATATTAAAAAAATAAAAGATACAAAAGTTTCAATACAAGAAAAAGTTATTTCAAGAACATCATCACAATATGAAAAGGATCCCTTCACACAAACTGCTAAAATACTGTTATAAAGTACGAGCCGATATTGTTCTCACAAGACAAGAATTCATAATGATCACTTACTCGATGGTTTAAAGGTATTGCGAAATGAATATTTGAAGTTGGAGAACAAAAATTGTTGAAGTAATTAAAAACATCAATGAACCCGACAAAATATTTTAGAAATCATGTCATTTTAGGTCGGGTTGAAAAACAGCATAAGCTGACACTCCACCTTTTCGTCACTATTCCTTTTAAGCCAATTATTTTGTAATCATGTGACGAATAAAGGCCATTTATTATTATATTATTATTATGTCAAACCCCCCTAGCAACGCGGTGCTATACGTTTTTGAAGAGAACTGTTAAGCTGTAAAAGCTCCATTTTGTCGTTGGCTGAACCCCCAAAATGCTGGCTAAATGTTATATGAAATGCAAATTTTCTTCTTGCAGCATATTAGCTCGGTAGTCAAAATGGTTGTGTTGTGGCATCCATGGTTACATTATTTAAACAACAAACCCGAGTCTTGTTATTTTGTTGTGGAAAATTACTACTTTAGCTAACAAGTTGCTCCCAACGGAAGCATTTATACAACTGTCGTTTAGTAACTGTTAGAAGATATACATTTGCAACATCACAACTTTTATAGTACAAAATTTCCGTGCTTGGCATACATTAATTTGTTGCTGTTATATAGATGTACAACTTCACCATAAGCTAAGTTCCAGCTGTCATCTATTTAGGTTAAATGCAATAACGAATATTTTCCTTCATCAACACAAGCAACGCACGAAAATTCGTTTTAAAGGTTTTATCAAACTTTTTCAGAGTATTGAAATGGTACAAACTCTGAGTAATATTTCACTTCAGAGATTTTCCAAATTGCTGGGTAACATCTGCAGATAACACCAAAATGTTATAGTAATCCAAAAGCAATGTGGAAGTTGCCATATTGGATAAAGATTATATCCTTCTCTTGAAAATCAAATTATTATGTTTCAGATAGAAAATGATAAACATCAGTGTAATTGTCTCCAGATACACGATATGTGAAAGACTTAATGCAGATAAGTTCAGAGTTTTATCTTAAAAATCTAGACGTATTTTTGTTCGTTATTAAGATATGAATCAAAGACGAAGTCCGTACCTTGTACGATAATCGCAATAGAATTGGCTGGGCAAGTAATTCAGTTGCCCTATATCACAGTTAGAAGCTCATCATATGCCTGTGTATGAAATTCACGATGGTCGATATGTGAGAAAACAAGATGAATGTGTAGTTTGAAAATATTTCACGTTGCCTATACCATACGTAAAAATAGTTTGACAAAAATCCAACCTTGCACTGACGCAAAGTTTCTTTAGCAACCGCTTTGCATTTTTGTTAGATAACTGTTACCTGGAGCCCTTATACAACCTCTGAAGTGACAGAAGTGACCTGTTAGCGGTTCTAAGAACGCTTACCCAATGCTCTTGCAATTGCTTCTCTAATAAAATAAATAATTTATTTACTCATGTTGGCAAACTTTTTCACTAAATAAATTATTTTCACATACAAAGATTGATCTTCCAAAGCATACAAAATTTAAAAGAAGCAACTCCGTCGGGCTATTTTTATTAGTGGACAACATAAGCATTCATGACATTGTGAAAATGTTTGTTGAAATTTTAAATGTTGGGCACCATAATTAACATGGCCCATTTTGGGATCCCAATTTTCGATTAGGTACTTAATATTTTTTTTATATGCCTTTCTTCGTTGTATTTCCTAACTCTAGTTTGATATTTTTTTGACTGTTCCTATGCAATGCAACATTGTCTTTGGAAATAAATATCATTAATTCCGATCAGTATTTTGCGGATGACGAGAGTAATGATAATTTCCAATTCCTCATTCGTAATCTCTTATCATTGTGACATAGGCAAAAATGGAAAAGTTAGACGCATGATATCAGGGGCCAATTTATCGGTGCGAAATGAGAAATCGAATTGTCACAATACATAGACGTTTTGTTGAAAGCAAATATTTTGAAAAGCATGGACTAAGTGTTTTATTATGACGCAGTTATCGTCGCCGAATACCACTTGGGATGTTCCGAAGCGTTATCGAAAATTAAAATTCTAAATTGACCACACTAACAGTGGACATTTGGAAAAAATAGTCTAGTCAAAAACCGAATGTCGTCTTTCCTTTGATGACAAACATAACCCATAATGTAGATTCACGGTTTTTTAATAGGGTTAATTTTACAGTAGCCATTGGCTGAATTTCGCAATTAATCATTAAATTATGCTTAAGTGAGTCAGCCGTTATAAAGTACGTACACAGGAAACGCAATTTAGAACAACAAGTTTAACGAATGGACATTTTTATTTAATATTCACCAAAGAACAAAAACCTACCTTGATAGTACTTTCAGGTAAGTTAAGTTGGGCCGCTAACTCGCATCTCCTGGGTCTTGAAACGTAGTTCTCTTTGTAGAACTCCTTTTCTAACCTAGCGAGTTGCTCACGAGTAAATGCAGTCCTATATCTTCGAATGTTGGGGTCATTGATATTTGAAGAAGTGGAACTGTTCAGTTTGGTTTCTGGACTGACCGGACTTAAAGGGTCTGAAATAAAACATTGTACTCAGATCCAAAATGTATCATTGTCAGTAAACAATTAAATTGAAAGCAACCAACATACTAACGTACAATAATTCTTAGAAATAGGCGAGAGCAGTAGGCAATGGGTTCACTCATCAATAGTAAATTAGATTAGATTATCCTACGTCATTACGAAAATAATGAATGTCTTATACTTTTGGGGAATATCCGCACATTCTTAGAAAGCAAAATGAATGATTATTAAAATAAAACTCATAAGATTAACAGCTGCAAATTTGACAGCACAAGCCACCAAAATCTGATTCAGAGGCTGCTTCTGTGCATCTGGTACCCACTTATTGCGGCGGAACTACCTATTAAGCGAAAAAAAGACACCAATACATTGCTTTTGGCATGTGGTATATCCCAGTGCACTTCTGTGTTGTCCCCAAAAAAGAGGAAGAAGTGTGGAAAAACGGAAATGTGTCGCCACCTTGTCGGCACTTTCAGACCACTCAGTCCAGACGGTAATTTCCTATACCAAAAATTAGAACCTACTAATTGCCACTTTAGTGTCAGGAAGTTAATGCTCTTGACGGAACCACATACAGTGTTTATTTCTCTCACTTAAAGGGATGAACTAAGACATATCACTATAAATGCAATCCAGCTACGAAGATATTATTTTGAAATCAAATATGGTGATATAAATGGTTAAAATGATACAAAAAATAACTTTTAAAATGGATTACATGAAACAGAAACACATATTTAGATACCTTGTTTGATCCAACCATCATAATATACAGGGTGACTTCGAAGTTGAGTCATTTATTTTAACAGTGAGTAGATCTGATCAAAAGAAATGTTTTTTTCCTTTACCATTTTTCTGGTAAAATTAAAGTAACAAAGTTATAGCCCTTTGGAAGTTTGAGTACCGCCCTGTCTCAATAATATCATGTGCTCGTGTTTGGCAACAACGGATATAATCCGCCTTATCGGTTCATCGCATCGGAAACAAAAAAGCGAAGGAATTTGGAACGAAGTTTTTACAATTATGTTATTCAGTTCAGTTATACATACAGTCAGTGTCAGTCGCGTGTGAATAGTGTCTGTTGCGTGGCTCAAACGAAATAAAAAATGGCACATGTTTATGCGGATCGGTTTCCCAATCGAGTGCAACCAACCCCTCGTGCCTTTGTTAATGTAGTACAACGGGCTCGTGAATCAGGTGACTTAAGACCTCACAGGGGACCTCACGATCAAATACAGGTCCGCACTGAAATACTTGTCGGGAGGATACTTTATAAAACAAGGTAAACATTTTTTTTTTATTTTTACACACATATTTTGGTTTATCTTCCTTCTACAATCATTATCTGAAAATTAATGACTCAACTTCAAAGTCACCCTGTATATGTGACATAGACAAATATGCAATATACTCATTATATAATTTTGCATTTTTATAATTATAGCCTTACAGGATGTTTCAGAAAGCAGTGCCAATATTCCTAGTGTAGAAAGTATATCAAAAAAAGTCGCAATAAATATGGATCAAAGATGTTCCTCTATCGAGATGGTGATCAAGTTTTAATCTCGAAATTTAAAAAAATAATATATATCTACGGAGCCGGTGGAGATACTGCGTTTTCCGACCCAAACTAAACCAGAGACGTCGAAACTGGGATACTTGGGCCAATAATAGGAAATATTTTCTAAGCCACTGGTCTTTTAGGAGAAAAGAAGTGTATTTTATAAAATACCAATTTTCCACAAATTTTGTCACCTAAGACATTTTTGTCAGATCACTCGTTTTGACGATATTTGGATTTGATTTTGCAATAACAGAAAAACAATGACAAAAACTTTCTCGGTATAACTGTTTAATATAACAATGATGGTCATATTTTAAGGAACTGGTATACTAAGAACGCTTGTGGTCTGGAACGTTTTTAAATTATTATGACGAATACCTACCGAAAGACAGTTTGACAGCCCGGGCAACATTATTGTCTTACCGTAACAAGCAAACGGACCTAATAACCTAACGAAAGTGAGATGATTCTTTCCCAGAATAACTAACCCGAAATTTTGTTGACGCCAGCATAAAAAAGAGAATACACCAAATTTATAATAGAGAAGACGTACTGACAAACAGAACAAGAAATGTATACCTCTGCAAGTCTATCTGAAAATATAAAGGATTTAAAGACAAAGTCCATGTAGCACATGAACCTACTACAACAACTAAAAACATATTCAATTCAAAATTGCAAACTCACTGCTAAACTGTCCCGGCACAGAAGGTATGTTTTATACATTTATCTAAACAGTTAAAGAATGTGTCTGTTTTTCCTTACATGTGTCTTTAACACATAAAAACACGTACCTTTCTTATAATGTCCATGGGGCGACTGCGGAGGACTGGGCTGTCTATGATGCACATTATAATGCGGGGGGATAACATCCAATACCACCGGCGAGTTTTGCTCATCCTGCTGATGGAACATTTTGACCGAGGTCTGCAACATATCACACATCACACACAACAATTTCCAAAAAAAAGCACTGAACCAGGGAAACGAAGGATAGCAAAGAAGCGAATGTGCCTTCTCAGACCCGCTTCGCTCTATTTACCCATCAGCGAATGGGCGTAGTATCAGCGTCTCTGGTTGGCCGGCCGGCATCGATCAGTGATTGGTGGATCCGCCTACTTGCACGTAAGTCAGCTGCCTATTGAGGCGAGTATCGCTTGCGCGAGTCCTTATGGGCGCTTAGTAGATGTGTCGACTGGCATTACCGGCCATATAGCCCTGCTATTACTGCTGTGAAGCTTCATTACGGCCTGGTGGGTAAATATACGAGAAAATTAGATTGGTTCAAGGATTTTGGCAGGTTATAGGGTGTTTGTGTAATGTTGGACCAGCGAAAGATTGCAAGCCGAAAGAATGCGGACAAAAAATTGCGAAGTTGTCAGATGTTCTACATAAAATGCGGTCCATACATATTAACATATTTAAGATATAGAATTGTTCCGCTGAATTTGGCAATGTAGCTGGAAAACCCAGGCCGCAGGTAAACATCCGGTCGCTGATTGGTCCAAAACTCTTATCTTATCTGAAACTAGAATAACGTGCCGATGGCACGGTCATTTATAAACCTACTCCCATAGGCGTAGGCAGTTGGCAAATACTTTGAAAATATAATTTACTGTTTAGTGGTGATAATGGAATTCAAGCATGGGAAAGTTATTCACAGCCAGGCAAGGGAAATAATAGCAAACGTGATACGTGCTTGCGATGCAGAAGCGGCTAACAATACTTTCGTTTATCCACTGGTAGCTAGAAATGCAAGGGCGGCATATTATACGGGTGTTAGTGAACGAACTATAAGTAAAATTAGAAAAGAAGATAAAGACAGGCAAAATGCAACCTCCACACAGCCTTTAGCTTCTCCCGGAAAAAAGAGATCACGCCCTTCTGTGATCCAAAAAATTGATGGAGTCGATTTTTCCATTATTCGGAGAATGATAGAAAAATTTTACTGTGATTTTAAAGTGGTACCTACTTGTAGTAAACTTCTAATCAAACTGAAGGAAGAAATGGAATTTCCATTTGGTAAAGAATCGTTGAGGCTGCTTTTAAAAGCAAAAGGATTTTACTGGCGTAAATGCCACAACAAAAGGAAATTACTAATGGAAAGACCCAGTATTTTACATTGGCGATACAAGTATCTTAGGTCTATTAAAAAGTTCCGGGAAGAAGGAAGGCATATTATTTATTTGGACGAAACTTGGGTTGATAATGACCTCACTTTCAAGAAATGCTGGCAAAGCGAAGAAATTATGGGTGTCCTGAGCAATATAAGTTCTACAGGTAATAAAGTTTCTTTCACCTCGATTTTGCTTATTATACATTTTTCTCAATTTTGGAATATTCTTAATAAGTGCTCATTTAATTTGTCTAATTGAATACATAATCCCTTGCAAGTATTTTTTTCTCAAAAATATGTTTTTTATACATAGTGATTCAAAAAGGTGTTGGCAAACTTAAAATAACACTAAAATGAGGCTATTTATTCATTTCCAGGACGACTTATAATTGTTCATGCGGGTTCGCAAGATGGTTTTGTTCCTGGAGCCTGTCTCATTTGCAAGGCTGGCTGTGCCACTGGTGATTATCACGGTCAAATGAACCAAGAAAATTTCACGAAGTGGCTTACTGAAAAACTATTTCCTAACATTCCTCCTAATAGTATTATAATAATGGATAATGCACCTTACCATTCAGCTTTGGAAGACAAGCCTCCAACTAGATCTTCTCTAAAAAGAGACATCATCACGTGGTTGAGCAAAAAAGGTATAGAGCATGATCCTAATGCTAAAAAAATGGAGCTTTATGAAATAGCTTGTCTACATAGGCCACCATCTGATGAGAAAAATTATAAGATAGATAATTTAATAAGAAGTTTCGGACACACCCCACTTCGAACGCCACCCTATATGTGTCAGTTTAATCCCATAGAGATGATTTGGGCACAAGTAAAATTTTTCATTAGAAGCCATAATACAAGCGGCGAATTTACTATAAAAAAACTAGATGAAATTTCTAATAAGGCCATCGCTTCAGTAAGTGCCAGTGACTGGCAAAAGGTTATTGGACATGTTATAAAAATTGAAGATGAATATTGGGAAAAAGACAGTCTCATTCAAGAAATACAGGAAGAAATAATAATCAACATAGGAGGTGAAAGTGATAGCAATGACAGTTCCTCAGACAGTGATCATGACTCTAATCAGGATTGAAACTATACTAGATTGGCTACCTTTTAGAATTTTTAGATATTCATTTATTATACTATTGGTTTGTGGCTTTTAGTATCTCAGTAGAAAGTCTAATTCTATGTGTTGTTTATGGGTTATTTCATCAAGAAATTACTTTTTGTTTTCCTATATTTTTCTATTCAGTCAGATATTTTTGACTTGTTGTATTCTATTTTAGAAGAATGCATAATTTGTTTTGCTGTTCAATCATAATGCGTACATAGGAATATTACTTGTTGCCTAAAAATATATTTATTTTGTTCTCAATATTCAGTGTTTGTGTATATTTATTTCTTATAATGTATGTTTGGTATCACGTCATTATGAATCGCAAAAAAATATTAATACTACCAGTTGTAATAAAATATAAATTCAATTAATAATTCAAGTCTCTCCGATCTCCGCCTATGACTCCATATAAAATCGTCTAATGGTAAGGTTTTTTCATCGCATTTCCCCCTTTCGTCCCTAGCAATCTTTGGCTGGTCGATCAATACCTGTGCAAAAATCGGTTGGGTGCAACTCAGGAGAAATGTTTATCTTTCGATTTACCTGCGACGTGGAATTAATTGAACTACCTTTACAAGCTTCATAACGTGAAAGTATACATGCATTTGATGTTGAAACGCTAAAAATACTATTGGCCATGATGTGACGTCATACAAATTGTAAACAAAGAGACGTCCACCGTATGTCACTAGTGGACTAACGTTGTCTTCCTTAAATATTTCTAAAAAAACTCCTAATCAACATAAAAAGCTATCTGCCAAAAATTGACGCATTGATGGTTGGTAACTGTTTTGCCTTCTGTTCTAGTGGGCTGAGGAACATCAAGACTTCTATGTAAGTACAGTGCGTCTGATATAATGACATAAAAGCTCATGCGTTATAACCTCTGAATACTTCTACATAATATTGAATTTCTTCTTACTCATCTGCACGATAAAATCTGTATAGTAGAATGTGACATATGTCTCGAGCATCAGGTTCAAGCAATACACAGTATTGCGTATATTTATTTCCGTGAGCACGCTAATTCATAGCTTTCCTGCGATCTTAATCGATATGTTTTGATATTCTCGGACGATCCAATAACGATAATTACTATACCTTTCAAGTATTAAACTAGTAGAAGTAATGTTTATATGTTTCAGAGGTTATGCTGCTGTTTACAGATGGCATGACGCCAGAGCACGTTAATATGGCGAACGGCGTTTTCGTCTGCCTAGGGAAAATATATTTTTAAATGAAAGTTTTACGGCCTTTTAGGTTTGAACAATATATAGTATTAATTTTTTCATCTAATAGAAGAGATAATACTAACTATTTAAGACCTACTTAAAAAGTGTCAACAAACCTATTCTTACTTGGTCTATTCGAAAATATTCTGACAATAGGTTGTGTTCGGGTGGTAGTACAGAAGGGTACCGAACCGCTTTCCCAGAACCAGTAATGACCACCGACGGTATATAGAGATATCTGTTTATAAAATTTCCATTTAAGAGATTTTGATGTTATTATGGTACAGGGTGGACTATTAAGTTGAGCGGACTAAAAAATCATAAAAAAACTACGAGGCGTAGAGAAGACAATTTATATTTTTAATAAAGTAGACACATGGGAATTTTATTTTTTTAAAATAACATCATTGGAATGTGAGCCATCGAGATTAACGCACTCCTCTAATCTCGACTTCAAATTCGTGAAAACTCGCAGGCACATCGCTCGTGGACAATCGTCGTCGATTTATTGGCCTAAACGCGGCTCTTGAAGTATCCTCTGAGAAAAAATCCAGTGGCGTGAGATCTGGGCTCCGGGTAGACTGCGGAATGCCCCCTCGTCGCGATATCAGTTTTCCCCTAAACATTTCGTTTACAACTGCTAAAGACTCGTTGGCGGTATGGGATGTCGCGCCATCTTGTTGACACCTGGTCCTGCTTGGTAGGCTTTTATGCAGTTATGGAAAGAAAAAGTTACATAGCATTGCTGTGTAGCGATTAAAATTTACCTTTACCGTCTGGCCTTGTTCGGTTTCGAAGAAGTAGGGTTCGATGATTCCACTCAAATGAAAATAAGCTTAATCAGAAAAGAGAATGTTGTTCAAACTTGGAAAGTGCTGTAACGTTGTTTCGTCAAACGCACGGCGTAGATGGTGGTCCTGCGATTTTAATTCCTGCACTAGTTGAAGTTTATATGGGTGCAATTTAAGGTCTTTTCCCGAAAATCGCGTTAAAGATGTTCTTGATATGGCAAGCTCAGCTGATCCCTTTCGGGACGATAACTGTGGATCGCACCGTACGGACGTCGCAACTTCGCTTACAGTTTCCTCTGTTTGTATTAACATTGATTTAGATAATGTAAACTAATCTCAGAGCGAAACACACGCCGCGAAATACTGCACGAATCTTCATTTTTGTAATAAGCCTTATCACACAACGCACCCTACTCACCGGTGAAACGCTCCACGGCAACTTTTCCGAGCACCAAGCTACTTATCCCCACTACCCGTGCCCCGCTCCCGCGTGCCTCTCACAAGCAATGCAGTTTTGAAATTCCACCCTGTATTTTGCGCTGCTGTCGGCATTCACAGGTGGATAACCAAACAAACGCTAGTAGTCGTAGACGGTAGATATAAATGATATTTTAAATGTGACACAGCCTCAGCCACAAAATATATGCCTCTAGAAAGTATGTGGCAATAATGAATCTCAAACAGTGTTCGAGCAAATATCGTAAAAAGTTGCAAGAATAGCGGACCCATGTCCAAGACTTGGCAACGTTGGGTCGTTACTAT